CATATGGATCATGCGGCAGTGACGAAGTTGTAAAGTGGGAAAAAATCTTTCAGGTAGACTTATACGCTGATATTTGACCATTCAAGAATTCGCCCCCGAATTCAAGTACCTACCGGAAAGAGCGAACGTGGTCGCCGACGCTTTGTCCCAACACAACACAACAACTAGATCCCTTGTGACACAATCATTTATGCTCTAGATTCTGAGGAGAGGCTTATCTACATAAGTTATCTCTTCCATTCAGTAAATTTGAACAACGACAAGACATATTCCACCGCCTCAGGAAGAATGCATAGAACAATGTCACACAAATTGTCGTATCTGACACATTATGAGCGCCGGTACTAACTCTGTACCACATTGTTCCTCAGGGAGGCCATCCCAGGCGTGACACATGCCTTGAAGAGTACCATTACTATTTATTATAAACGGCATAGAAATATTCGTATACAGCAAAATAAGTAAATTTACCGATGACACTGAAATAGGGCGTGCAATTAAATCTGACGAGGACTCCGCCACACTAGAAGAGATCTAAACAAATTTTTCTCATTGTCTGAAAAATGGCAGTTGAAATTTAATGTGAACAAATGTAAAGCACTTAGTGGAGGTGATATTAACAGGGAAACCAGATACCAGATGAACAGCGATGTTATTGAGAAGTCCGACTGTCAGATTTAGGAGTAATGATAAGAAGGAATCTTAAGCCAGTAAATAAGTGTATTTTCTCGAAACAAGGCAAATAAAGCACTTGGGTTCATACAAAGGAGTGTTAGTTACAAGACTAGCAAGGTCATCCAAAATATATCTTGCGCTTGTGTGACCTCACTTGGATTACGTAGTTCAATTCTGGTCACAGTATTACAGAATGGATATAGAATCCTTGGTCAGAATTCAAAGGAAAATGACAAGACTAATCCCGGGCATTAGGAACCTTGAGTACAGAGACATGTTAAAGCATCTTAATTTGCACTCCATCGTGAGACGTAGAGTGAGGGGCGATATGATAGAGGTGTATAAATGAAAGTCAGGGCTAAACAAAGGGGACATTTCAAAGGTACTCAAACTATCCAAACTAGTAGCAATGTTTTTAAATTAGACAAATTTAGATTTAGGCGCGAAATAGCTCAACATTGTTTGGAAATAGAGTGAGTAGTGGACGAGTTTTGTCGCCTGTTCTTATAACTCTTTTATAAGCTCGTCAGATTTAATTACACGCCCTATTTTAGTGTCATCAGCAAATTTACTTATGTTGCTGTCTACGCCGATATCTATGTCGATTATGTATATAGAAAATAATAATGGTCCAAAAAATGAGCCTTAGCGACCTCCACTAGTGACGTTGCTCCAATGGGATTTAGTGCCGTTAATGCTCACTCGCTGTTTCCTGTCCTGTAACCAGGCCCTAATCGATTTTATAATATCTCCTTTAATGCCATGAGCCTCCACTTTTCTTATTAGCCTTTAGTGGGGGACTCTGTCGAAGGCTTTGCTAAAGTCGAGATATACCACATCATAATGTGCCCCTCGTCTACTGACTCGAAAACAGATGAAAAGAATGTTAATAGATTAGTTAAACACAAGTGGTCGTGAGCCCTTCGTGCTCGGTGGCGAGTTCGGTGGTACAGTTTACCGAGGCGTGAAAGTTCGAACGCTCGTGCTTGGCTAGTACACAGCCAACGTCCTGCTGACAGCGTACAACGACATCGTTTTCCAGATGGTGGTGGTTGTTATAATCGCCGATTGTGATTGTTTAATCATGGTCGTGGTTGTTATAATCATAGTCGTGGTTATGATCATAGTCGTGGTTGTTATAATCATGGTCGTGGTTGTTATAATCATGGTCGTGGTTGTTATATTCATGGTCGTGCTTGTTATATTCATGGTCGTGCTTGTTATAATCATAGTCGTGGTTGTTATAATCATGGTCGTGGTTGTTATAATCCTTGAGTCGTAGTTGTTATAATCATGGTCGTGGTTCGTACCGTCATGGTCGTGGTAGTTATAATCATATTCGTGGTTATTTATAATCATGGTCGTGGTTGTTATTAATCATAGTCGTGGTTGTTATAATCATGGTCGTGGTTGTTATATTCATGGTCGTGGTTGTTGTTATAATCATAGTCGTGGTTGTTATAATCATCGTCGTGGTTGTTATAATCATAGTTTGTGGTTATGATAATCATGGTCGTGGTTGTTATATTCATGGTCGTGGTTGTTATAATCATGAATGCGTGGTTTAATAATCATGGTCATTAGTTGTTATAATCATGGTCATTAGTTGTTATATTCATGGTCGTGGTTGTTACCAATCATAGTCGTGGCTGTTATATTCATCGTCGTGGTTGATATAATCATGGTTGTGGTTATGATAATCATGGTCGTGGATTTATTTATAATCATGGTCGTGGATTTATTGCCATAATCATGGTCGTGATTTATTGTAATCATTGTAGTGAACGTGGGCCCTTCGTGCCCAGTGAAAGTTTGAACGCACGTGCTTGGCTAGCGCGCAACCGCCGGAAAGCTGACAGCATACAGCGACATCGTTTTCCAGCGTAAATAAAATGTTTAATTAATGCTTTCCTAAGGAAACCATCGACATGGGACCAGGTTTGTTCCACTCTACGATTTTTTTGTGATTTTTCCACCAAGTTTGATGAAAAACGATTGTGTCGTTTCGGCTGCCCAGAACAGAAACACACACAGACGCACGGGTATTCCTATAGTATAAGAGATAATCATGGTCGTGGTTGTTATAATCATGGTCGTGGTTGTTATAATCATAGTCGTTGTTGTTATAATCATAGTCGTGGTTGTTATAATCATGGTCGTGGTTGTTATAATCATAGTCGTGGTTGTTATAATCATGGTCGTGGTTGTTATAATCATGGTCGTGGTTGTTATAATCATGGTCGTGGTTGTTATAATCTTGGTAGTGGTCGTGATACTTACAGTATCTCATATACTATAAGAAGGAATAGAATAAAGCTTAGAATAATTAATTAAAGAAATATTCGCCATAAGGAGAGGTTAAAATCAAAAAATTTTTATATTTTGAATCACTGATGATCATTCCAAGATAAATTATATTATGAAGAGAAGTGACCTTGATTCTGGTTATATTAGTCACCATCTGCTTAAGTCATCGCCTGTGTTAAGTCATCATAGTCATCATCCACGTTAGTCAGTTTTAGGCCCATCTCACATGACTGACCGACCATCGATGTTCTTTCCTCGCGAGGGTCTTAGTTTTCAATGCGTCTTATTATTTACGCTGGTGGATGTAAGACCTCCTACCCTCACTGATGTAGCTATGGTCAATTTGGTGTTATTCTTGTTTGTAAATGCCTTCTAATCTGTCTCAAGTCTATCTGTCCTGTCTATTGCCATCCCAACTGTCTGTTCGTCTGTGTGGTGTGTGAATGTAAGCCCGTCTGTACTCTTTGTGTCGTCATATCTGTCTGTCTTATCGTTGTTGGCGTGTGTCTGCCTGTTTGTCTAATGTGAACCAGTCAGTCAGCTGTCTGTCTGTCATGTTAGTTGCCATATTGTCTATTTGTGCATGTATGAATCTGTCTATTTTTGTCAACCTCCTGTCTGTTTCACTGTCTATATTAACCCTGTGTCTATTGTAGTCATCTTCTCCATGCATTCCTGTTATCATCTTTTTATCTCTTCTCCTTTTTCATGTACAGTCACCCACAGAAATAAGTATACACTATAGTTGTAAGGTCGCCTGGTAACGTTGAAACTGAGCATCCAGACGCATGATGAAACTCAGCTCCCCCCACCTGTTTCTCTAACTATTTTCTGTTTCCCCTTCTTTATTCTTCTATTTACTCATCTTCCTTCCTTTACTAATCCAAACAACATTAAAAGAAAGTAGGCTAAGGAAAAAAGTGGGGGGAGGAGGAGGGAGCCGTACGATAACTGCAATCGTTGGTTGACAGAGTACAGCGAATTAGGGTGAGCCAATCTGTAGACTTGCATCGTTTTCCAGCGTAAATAAAATGGTTAATTAATGGCTTCCTAAAGAAACCATCGATTTGGGACCAATGTTTGTTCCACTCTACGAATTTTTTGGGATTTTTCCACCAAATTTGATGAAAAACGATTGTGCCGTTTCGGCTGCCCAGAACAGACACACACAAACACAAACAGGCAGACAGACAGACAGACAGACACATGCCTAGTCCTATAGTATATTAGAAGATAAAAATTAATAATAATAATAATTATAATAATAATAACAATAATAACAATGAATAATGATGATAATAATAATAATAATAATAATAATAATAATAATAATAATAATAATAATAATAATAATATTAATATTAATGATAATAATAATAATAATAATAATAATAATAATAATAATAATAATAATAATAGCATAATAATAATACTTAAATAATAATAATAATAACAATTAGTATAATAATAGTAATAATATCAATGAATAATAATAATAATAATAATAACACTAATAATAATTAATAATAATAATAATAATAATAATAATAATAATAATAATAATAATAATAATAATAATAATAATAATAATTAATAATAATAATAATAATTAATAATAATAATAATTAAATAAACTAGTAATAATTAAAAAAAATAATAAAAATAATGATAATCATTATAATAATAATAAAACTAGTAATTAAAAAAAATACTATTACATTTTATGTTCTCCTTTTATTGTATTTCCCACATGTTCTTCTGGTTTCTTGTGAACTGTTCTATTCCCTAATGTTGCCAAGTCTAATATTTCCTCATTTTATTTTGTGCTCCTTCATGTTGTGTTTTCATATGTAACCCAGGGCTCCCACATATTCCTTTTCATCAGGTTGTCAAATGATATATTTTAATGTGGTTAATCATGTTTTTTTACCCAGCATTCTTTAGGCACAGGATAAGATTTTGACTTGAAATTATTGTCAAACAAAATATGATATTGATACCTGTCATTTACATTTCAGAGTTTGGTCAAGTTGGAAGAAGCAGCAAAGAAGCAGGATGAAGGAGTGGGTCTACCTCGGACCCCAAGGATGTCCCGGACGGTCAGTATGTGTGAGACTGGAACTGGCCAGACCCTCAGGCTGCGGGGACCCACATGCTCATGGCCTCGAGGTATCCTGAAGCGCCGCACCCGCTCCCTCAGTGAGTCCCACATTGGGTCTGTCTCTTCCATGGCACCACTAGGGTCTCTGAGTTCCTCTACTGACTTGAAGGTGTTGGAGGACAAGCAGAAAGAGCAGGAGGAAGAGGAGTGGGAAGAGAGCGTTGAAGAGAGTATGTCCTCCAGCCTGGGAGAGAAGAAAAGTGTGCGTTTCAATGAAGTGGTGTCTCGCCAACTTTTCCGAACCAACTCATCAATTTTAGGTCAGCGTGCCAAGAACCAGCGAAAAGCCATGAGAAAACGCAAGTGTCAACAACGTCATGCTTCAGACAGTGATCGGGGAAGCGATCGTGATGTGCACTCGAGTGGTGACCTGAACTCTGCTACCATCTCGACTGACGACGACACCGATGCTACTACTACTGACACCACTGAGGTCTACGATCTTGATGACATCAGTCTTACCAGTGACATCCTCGATGTTAAGAACAACAACATGATTAACAACAGCAGCAGCAACATTCGCAGTAACTGTAGTGACATTATTCAAAGCACTGAAGATCAGAATGAGAAAGAAAACATCAATAATAATAACAAGATCAGTGACCCCAGCAGCAATACTAGCGATGGTTTCCACAACGAGGATGATTCTAATGCTGGATTCATCATAAAAACCAACAAGAAGAAGAAGAGGAAGAGTAAAAAGAAGAATGCTTTTGAACCTTCTAATAACTTCATTTTCCAACTTGACTTGGACAATTAAGAACTTGCGTTGAGAAATTAAATGAGCTACATGTTATGGCTAATAAGACATTGTCCTGTATATTGTATTGCATTTTGTATTTTGTTTTCTTGGAGGAAAACTTAATTTGTGTTAATTGCTTTAAGTTGTACAGATTTGTAAATACATATACAGTACAGCAAATGAATACTGTATGTGCATTATTAATTTCAGTACAGTACCCTGCTGTATAATGTTTTACTTTGTCAAACTACTGTAGTAAGTTTTCATTTATGTGGTATTGCTAGTGCCCTTACCAACATAATTTTTGGTAAATACTTATAAATACTTAATAATGTACGTTCTGTACTGTATATGTAACATTTTGTTGTACCTGTACTGTATTAGTTCCCAAATTTATTACAGTACTGTATACTGATAAATCCCTTCTTATCTTGCATTTTTTGTATTACTCTCCGGTGCTGCCTGTGCTATTGTGTGTTATCTATACCAGTGTTATTTGGTTATCCTAATGGGAGTTAAATTACAGGATTATTAAACCACTTTTGATTTTTGTCTCTTGGTACAATACTTGTCACTCGTCATTAGAATACTTCAGGCATCTAGTTCTAAAGATAATGCTTGGAAGGAAAGTGCTATAAGCATTGATTTATTGACTGAGGAGTTGTTATGGTTTATCACTTATTTTTAATTTTTAAGAGTTAAAACTTTTTAGCCTATACTGTATAAGATATTAAAACAAGAACTGACAGGTTAACACAATTGATATCATAATGCTTATTGGTGGGTTTTAGTCCTTGTAGGGTGCATGGTCACGTTTCTCATTCCAGCAAGGATAGAGGCCAAGGGCCCAGGGTGTAATCTCTTCCATGAGCATTATATTTGAGAATGGATTTTACCTGAAACATGAAGCAGTAGAAATATTTTTAGTGTAGAGTGACTGTATGAACTGTGGGAATACTTTTAATTCATCAATTATAATTGATCTTTGCAATAGAATTAATTTATTCATGTAGAGAATTAATATTATTTTTTAACATGATCATAGGTAGCATTTGCTGCACCATTGGTTAGTCTATTAGAAATTATGACCAAAATATCATTGTGTATGCCTGTTGTACCTAAGTCTTGGTTGAGCTGAAGAGTTGCATTTGATATTGGTGGTAAAGTGTTAGTCTGATGCAAGTGTAAGGTAATGTGACTTATTCATCATTATTAAAAGCTGTGGGAGTATGATACAAAGTTGAACATTTAGAAAGTCTTGTTGGTACAAGTGAATTCAAAGTCATCCTTCACATTGTAGAATTAGAAATTAAGTGTCGGTGAACTATGGGTGGAAGCCGTTTAAGTTATTAACATGTCACACACTGTTGGAGATGACCTACACATACAAGTATGGATGTTTTTAAAAATTGCCAGTGTGATCATGCAGTCAACCTTGAATGCTATTGTAGGTGGCCAGTAATCACACAGTCAATGATTGTGAATGTTATTAAACTTGGCCATTGTTATTGCACAGTCACTCGTGAATGTTATTGTAGATGACTAGTGTGATCTCACAGTCTACCAATAGTTTTGAAAATTACGAATTTGACATCTTCTCTTTTATGTCTCCAGTAAAGCTGTTAGATATTAGTCTTTTAAATGGATTGTGAAAAATATGGTCCTGGAAATTTAGTCATTATGAAGTGTGTTTCATCATTAGCACTTAAAATTAAATGAGTTGAGGAAATCTTATTTAGAATATATGAGTATATTACTAAGGAAATTTTTTTCTCTTTATACATTTAAGGTTCGTTATTTATTCAGTACTAAATTATTGTCTTTGTAGGAAACCAGATACAAACACCTTTCCAGATACGTAACATAATGTGCACAATACATGTACAACTGAAATATATTAAAATTCTTAGTTTACTTTTAAATCCAGTTTTTGATGGCCTTTACTGTGAAAGGTATACATGGCAATATTGTCTCCTGATGAGATCTATCGCTGTTTTCACCATCACTGTTAAAGTACAACTTAAGTACACCTAACATTGAGTGTTATTCTGCCCAGTACAGTATTGTACCTGTGTAGTTAAAAGTAAAATAAATATATTTAATATTTATTATGTGCATTTCTGTATCACCTTGTGAAGTTGTGTTTTATTGCAATTTGGTTGTATTAAAATATTTCTGAAACGTTAAAGAAAGAATGTTGAATAAGGTGAGAATGTATCAGTAATACTTAGGGACATAATGGTTATTGGCATCTGTCATGCCTTCTCCCAAGATGTCCACTCCTCCTCCCTCATCACATTCCTTGGAATTACAAAATTAAGATCCGCATTCAACTTAACAGTCTGGAAGCAGCACAATGAATTTTTCTAGCTCAGCTCACGGCAGACTTTAAGGTGACCCCTCCAGTGGGTGGGACTAACAGTCTGTGCTAGACTCCAGGGACTTGCACTGCACATAGTAACTTTGCCTGTAACTTCACCACCAACCAATTCAACATGGATGGCCCTACCAGGAGTCCAAAGACAACCACCAACATAATGTTCTGTATCATTGGAACTCACAAGTTTTTGACTGATGTGGCAACTACTATGTGAAGACTATCATCCAAATATTATTTCTCCACCTGTTATCTTTAATCCTCACCCACATTATATAATGTGGATTAAGTGATGCAGAAACCTCAAGAAAGGGGTAAATGATATAATATACAGTACATGAATGGTGCAAGACAAGTGAGGAAAGAAACCCTGAATGGACGAGTTGTCGGTCGGAATTTTTTTGTAAAATGGCAGGTCAATGGGTAAAGAAAATGCTTAAATTCAGGAAATGATATTTTTTAATAAATTGGGCCAAAAAGTGTAATAAAAATAAGGTTTAAAGTAGCTAAAAAGTCATGTGACTGCAAAAAGCTCTGTGATTGGTTGTGACATCACAGGTTGGTTTGAGCCTCCGAGCAGGAGCCTGGAGGCAGCCAGCTGTGGTGTATGGGTTGTTAACAGCAGAAATACAGGGCTTCTGGCCATATACTGTATAGTACAATGTTGATATACATAGGCATACCTTAATTTTAGGTTAAAATAAATTACTGCTCAAGTATCATCGTGTTTATTTACTTGCTGGGTGCCAAACTGATGCAAAAGACCGATAATTCCAACTTGGAAGTTTTCATCACTGTTCTCTATTTCATGTCTGGAAAATGTAAGTTTTCATCACTGATGTCTATATTTAATGTTGTCACGGATTTAATAAGGTCTAGGTGTTGATGTTACACAGTACAGTATATATATATATATACAGTGGTCCCTCGGTTAACGAACACAATCCATTCCAGCAGGTTGTTCGTTAACCGAAAAATTCGTTAACCGAAACCATTGTTTCAATGGGTTTTTGGGTAATTGGTTCCAGCTCACCGAAAATTGCCTAAATTCAACAAAAATGGTAGAAAAGTTCACTTACTTTGAGGTGTGAATGTAGAAGGCTCCTGAATGATGATGATGATGATGATGATGGGAATTAGAATGGGGGTGGAGGAGAAGGAAGAAGAGAAGGCATTGGGGTGGAAGAGAAGTCACCCCATGGCACCATTTCACCCATAAAATTTTAGTTCTCTTGGTGTATTTCAAGATTATTTTCTTTAAATCAACACTGCACTGCATTATATATTGTCAATATGAAAAATATATTTCAAAATGACCAATAATTTGCTTGGAAACACAGAAAAAAAAGCATTTAGTTGAAGAGAGTCTCAAGCAAGATGTTACCTCCAGTGAAAACAGAGAGACTAACGCCTGTTTGCTGTGTTAAGAGGCTGGATGCCGCGCATTAAACTAGTCACTTTAGCTTCAATTATGTTCAATAATTGAAAAAATGATAAAAAAATTGAATATTAAACTTTTAAAATTATTGAATAGTATAAACTTCTTGATATTTACTAAAATAGTAAGGAATTTAAGCCCTAGAACCGATTAACGTATTGGCGGACTAATACTAAAGCGAAAACATGTTGAGGTCGGTTCGTAAGAAATTCGTTAACCGAATTTTTGTTCGTTAACCGAATTTAAGAATCTTATGGGAGGCAGTTCGTTAACCGAGGCGTTCGTTAACCGAGGGACCATTGTATATATATATATATATATATATATATATATATATATATATATATATATATATATATATATATATATATATATATATATATATATATATATATATATATATATATATATATATATATATATATATATATATATATATATATATATATATATATATATATATATATATATATATATATATATATATATATATATATATATATATATATATATATTATGATATTATATTACTCTGTATTATGTGTTTCTTAATTTCTTGCGTAGAGTTTGATACCTTCACACTGGTTACTTACTGAAGATTATGGTGTATGTATATATGTAGAAATTCACTCCTACCCGACATTCCATGATTTATACTGTACAATGTACCCCTTCTTTTTTTCATACGCGTTTTATCATATCTGTGATTGCCTCGCCAAATCTGAACTTTCATTTAACACAATTTTTCCTATACCCGGTGAGTGTCCCTTTCGAGGAAGCGCTATTTTTAGATTGCCCACCATGCACCCTGCTGACTGCCTGTTTTAGCTCATAAAATTCATACAAATTACCCGGCAGAATATAATTTACATTGCTGGAATTCTTATAATTTGGTGATCATTTTGAATATAAACATCATATATTTTGCATTAAACATACAAATTTTAGATAAAATTTTTTCTCTAGTAACTATGTTATCTTTTGTGCAAAATATATGACATTTATATTCAAAATATTCCTGGTCTTACAAGGAATCCAGCAATGTCAATTGTATTATCTAACTTTAGTTTGAGGTATTATTTATTAAAATTTAGTGGTTTTCCCCCAAAAATTTCTCTGAGAGGGAAGAGCCGGCAGTGTAGTGTGAGAGGGGGAGGGAGTTGAGTCCATTATTTGAATGGACATTAACTTGGCGACTGTATTTCTCTATTTCTCTTAAGTATTAATTGTGTGCATGTACCATCATAAAATTAAGATGTTATTTTTACTACAACATAGGTATGTGCCTTCAAAAAGTGGAGTATGGGGGTCGGGCCGGTTTCTATTGGAATTAATCCCATATGTTCTGTTGTTCACTTAACGCGGATTTCACTTAACGCGGGACCCTCTGGGTTCAATTGACCGCGTTAAGTGGGGTACAACTGTACTTGATAAATGATGCTTTAATGAGTTCCATTAATAACCAACATCCATATAAGTTATTGGTTATACTTTGTCATAACCAATCAGTCATTACCTTCAGTCATAATAATGTAGGGATCACATATATGGGAAGATATTGCACTTACATTTATTTGGCAAGCTTCCATTCAATGATTTACAATTTGCATGGATATATGAGTCACTCACATTCAAGCCGTAAAAAAATTAATCTTGAAAAGGGTGAATTTTTAACCTGGGGATGCACATTTAATTACTCTACTATGGTATGACTTAACAGAGCCTCAATTCCTCCAGTGATACATTTACTGCAAGCCTGGTTCACTCTTGCTGCAACGAGGCTTTCACACATGATCTTTTTTCCATAGGGAATACAAAACCTTGAGTTAGCACACACAGTCTTGTGTCACTGACAGTTTCGTGCAGGAGAAATCGTAAGGTGACTTGATTAACCACTTAAGTTCAATAGGCCAGCCTGGATTGCTCTTGTCGCAACCAGGCTTCCACACGTGTTCTTTCCATGGGGATAACAAACCTTGTTTGGCACACTTAGTCTCGTGTCACTGACAGTCCACAGGACGGGGTTGCGGCAAATAACTGTGTAGCATCCCATTTCCTTCAGGAGGGGGGAGGGTGAGGACGTCTTAACTAACCCATGTTCTAGGGCAGGGGTGGCGAACCTTTTTGAGAGCGTGTGCCCAAATTGGCGATAATATTCTGAAAAATTCTCTCACGTGCCTGTGGGAATTTTGAGCAGAAGAATATTATTATTTTTATTATATTGGTATTTTACAAAATTTTAATAGAGAAAGAGAACAAAGTGCTTGAAAGCATTTTTAGAGAAATCTGTTTAGGCAACCAGTAACTCTTCTGAATTGTTTTAAATGGGACAGTTTTAGGAATTTCATGTTATTTATAACTAGTGATTCACAAGAGGTAAAATTAATGAATTACGTGACAACAATAATGGACCTTCATTTTAGAAGAAAGGAGGAGTCCTGTTGCTTATTTACTTGTAATATATTTTTTTACTATTCACAAAAGTATAACAGAGAGAGATTGAAATAAATGAAAGCATTTTAGAAAAGGCCTGTTTAAAAAATTATATATATCAATGTTTTTAAAAAGACAATTGAAAAATAACATCATTTATAAATAGTACTGTACCTTATATAACCAATATATGAAATGTGACAGTGAAATGATAAGCTTTGGTTCATATTATAAAACAAAAACAAAAATCAAGGAAAGGAAAATAAGCAAATTTTACATTCAGTGAGACTTTTGCTGCTGCACCAACGATGACAAATATTTTATATCAGGCTTGTATTTGGTTGTTTTGAGAGCTATGCATGCACTAGTTTCATCAGTAAGTCTGTAGTGGATACTCTCCCCTACAATTGCCGACTGATCTCCTGCCGTTCGCTTACCAGCCAATCAGCTTACAGGTAGTAGAAGCCCCAGCTACATCAAGACTAGGTCTCAGGTGCGGACGTAGGGGTAATACTGCTCACTGATTTCTGACCTTCCTAAGCAGCGACGAGTTCAGCACACCAGGCCTCTCTCGCAAACTGCACTGTGATTGGCCCCGCACATTTCACACATCACTTCCCTGATCCTGACCAGCCGTATAAATACGCGTAGGCCTGGCTGCGGAGCTCATTCTATTCTACTCTACTCTCCTGAACCAGCAAGACCTCCAAACAAGCTCCTCACCAACCAGCTCCCTCAGCAAGCTCCTCACCCAACAGGACCTCTGAGCAAGCTTCTCACCACACAGCAACTCCTCAGCACTGCACTGTACATACAATATATATATATATATATATATATATATATATATATATATATATA